CTTGTGATCGACAGTTCCACACAATAATCATGGTCCATCACAACAATTTTAAACAAAAAAATTGAATTTTTCATATTTAACACAGACAATGATGAGTAGTCATGTTCGAATAGCTCCTGATAATTTCCGGTAACTATAGGAGTTAGAGGGAGTTGAAGACTTGACATTTTTAGGGAAGGAACTTCGTTTCATCGCTATAACCAAAAGTAAGAACTTCTCCAGGAGATGGTTTTGATTTTAGGTTTATTCAAAACTCAAACCTCCAGAAAAAAATTTATGTTTTTATGGCGGCAAAATAAACCTTTTGTACAATAGGTTGAAAAACTGACGAAGTCCATGAAAAACAGCCCTCCACCTTGACTCCCAAAAAAGCTTACACTCTTAATGAATTTGCGGAGTTTTCTGAGATGAGAGTCTTTGTTGTATCGATCTTAAGGAATATTCTGAAAGATCTGAAAGGTACATAAACCCCCCCCCCCCCTTTCGGGAGTATCGTCGTTTTATACTTTTTTCAATAGTTTATTCTTTCTGATTCCTTTCGTTCGTTGCCATTCATCTCTACCTTGATGCCATCTACTTTCATATTTGTCATGAATTTTTCTGTACATTATTTCAAACGAATTTCGATGATAGATAATTCAGTATTGTGCTTTATGCAATCTCATATGGCGGTGACTTATACATCAACCTCGATCGGATTTCTATCGATAGCGACAATGAAGGAATTGGGCAAGAGGAGAATCGGTTCAGAAACCGAAAGATTTTATCACTGGTACTCGGTAGCTAGTTGTGAACGGAACGAACAGATATGCTGCACAAAAGGATGTGTGGTGTCAAGTTCTGGCAAGACAAGAAGATTCGCTGGTCTCTACCTCAAGATGGCATAGTTTAAGCACCATTTGACTATTGGACAGAGAATTCTGGCTTTGAATGCCATCCAATTACGGCTTCTATTATGGCGAGAAATATATTCGAAATTCTATCGACAAACCTCCACTTTGCAGACAACGCAATGTGTAACAAACATGAAAGGTTGCACAGGATTAGGCCCGTAATAGAACTTGTCAATAGAAGGTGCAACGCAATATACGGCTTTAGAAGGTACGTATGTATTGATTAGTACATGGCATGGCTTAGATGTAGAATACTCTTCTACCAGGACATTCCACATAAGAGGCATAAATGCGGCCTCAATTATTTAATCTGCTCACACAAGATGACCGGCTAAACGTCAAAATTTCGACGCATACAGATAGCGACACCTTTATAACTGGAGGTGAGCCACACGTGCTGATTGTCTAGTTTGCTGGGTGAAGGAAGGCATCTATACACCGATACTTCGTACGATGATCCTTTTTTGGCGGTGGACCTACTATGGACAAAACCCATCTTATCGGGAGGTTTAGCAAAAGGAGGTAGGGATTTCCCAAACATGTAATCACTGGAAGGTGAAAAGTGGAGGCAGCATAACTGGAGCCATATAATGGTAGCACAACATAATCGGAGCCGTATAATGGTGTTGCAGCGGAAGGATGAGAAAAAAGATACCACTTTGTGTCATCACCTAGCGCTGATTGAAAGGTCCAACCAGGTAGGGCTATTGGTGAGCACAAGTGATCAGATGGCAACCTACTGTCTATCTGTTAAAAGCCTTTGAAAGTGGTATGTCAGTTTCTCTCTGTTTATGGTTAAAGCATCTTTTTTATTCCACACTTTAGATACACAGCTGTTCTTTCACTTGACCACTGAGACATTTCTGATGAACCCATGGAAGATATATAACAAGCATGAACAGGTGGCCCCGCCGAATGACCTTGAGATGGAGTTGGATTGGATATAGGGATGCTCCGACACCACCACGTTCTGAAATCTTTAAAGAAAGTGGTACCGAAAGTTCGAAAAAATGGAGGTGATGTGTGGACTGTTGCAAAGATGTTATAGAGAATTAACATCGGCTGTACGCACTGGAAAACATCGCCCGATGCAGCCGCTGTGGCGAGCATTAGTGTTTAGAATGTTTCAACAGATGTGGCGCTGAGTTTATATCATCGGTGCGACCTCCTACTTGAAAATCATTATTTTAGAAAAAAAAATTGTAGGCTTTCAGTAAAAATTGTAATAGTTCGAAGACGTAGTAACAATCTCAAATGACCTTCGTCGTCATTAACATTGTTACTCTCATTAGTAATCACTGTAAACTTACATGATATAGGATATATATGTATGCATACATGCACATAAGTATATGTATATACGTATTTTTCTCATATAATCCGCCTTAACATCTACTGCACGGATTCCAGCACTTCTCACATTCGATTCGTTTTCTGGCATCCATCATCCACGAAGAACTCCTAACGTTACGTGTGGCCTCTTGAAGGTTTTTGTTTCATTTTGAATGTGGCAGAATACTAGTCGAACATTTCTGCCTAGTAATAGCTTGGCTGGAGCGTTCTTAACTGGATTACAAAGAGTGGTTTTTTCCTGGAAAAGTCGTATACCAATTTTCCGACCCCGGAAAGATGAGAGGCTTGGTTGGACCGAAGCGGAATCGAACTAGCACCATGCTCGTGATGACGGACATTACTACCGCTGTGCCATCCGCACCCTGTATATATATATATATATATATCACCTGTATCACCTGTCACCTGTAGTCCCATTGGTCGTCGAGTGACTCGAGTGGGCGCCAGTAAATCTTCCATTTATTCCCTGACGCGTGCAAGATTAGCTCAGTGGGTTCTGCTCGCTCTAGGGACGCGTCGAGCATCATATCTTTCTTCTAGGCTTTCCGTGAAGAACTCTGACCATCGAGTCGCTGTTTTTCTGGCAGTGCGTTTAACATCCCGAGGAATCCAGTCACTAACGGCTCTTGTCCATCCATTGTCATTCATACGCATTGTATATCCGGCCCATCTTATCATCGACTGTTTGGCGTAGAGAACGGCATCTTTGATTTTTGATCGTTGACGCAGATCGGAGCTTCGGATCCCATCCCTTACTTGTGTGAAACGGGATACTCCAAGCATCACCCTTTCGATTGCGCGTTTGACAACGCTGAGTAATCTTTCATCCTGCTTACGCAGCGACCACGTTTCTGACGCATACGTTAGAGCAGGAAGTACCGTTGAATCGAAAGGGTGGGCACGGAGTCGGGTGTTCTTTGTTCCCTTCACTAAATCCTCGATGCTCTTGAAAGCTCCCCAAGCCGCTCGTTTTCTTCTGCTCTGGAGCTAGGTCGTCCTTCATATTGATTCCCCGACCTAGATAGATATAACTGGAGCATTCAGCGATATACGTCCCGTTGAGCGTGAATGAGTATATATATATATATATATATAGTTGACATATATACATATATGTATGTATATATGTATATATGTCAACTTGTTCTGTACATATATGCTGTAACTTGCAAACTGAATGTTGTGGAAAAAATGTGAAACAAAAACGTGGTAAAACTTGACAAATGTTTCCAAAGACAAGGATTATTGAGCAGAGAATGAGAATTCTATGAGAGAATGCTCAGTGGACACTAAACCACTTTGATGAATTCTTTCCACTTCTCTTCAGCAAACAAGAGGTGCTATTCCACTTCCCTACTCACGTAAAAGCTAACGTTTCGGAAGATTTCGCCTTCCTCAGAGCCTGGAAAGGTCAAGTTGACAGCAATCTATTCGGCCAAACACCTTCATAGCCAAACAAAGAAAACGCTAAACCAAGATTTCAATCACATTTAGCATAGCTCTGCACACTCACCGCTTCCTATGAGGCTTCCATTGAGTGTGCCGCGTGAAGACGAACCGCACAGAATTCACATGGAAGCGTTAATGTGCCTCTCCCATCAGAATAACAGGTTTATATGCTGTCTAGTATCACGCGTGATAATGAGGCATTCCTCCATGCGGTTCATATCCGGACTCTTGGAATTAATCAAGAATGCCTCTAGAGTTTTGCGCGCTTGCGTACTCGATTCTTGCGCGAGGATCGTAACCCTTACTTTAAAACCTTCTCGGTCATGTTTTTGCGTGCTATGCGTACCTAGTGGAGTACTTGGCTTACGTTTGCCGACTAGGTGTTCTTTTATACGTACGCAGAGTGGTTTAACCGTTTCGCCAACGTATTCGTCTCCGCACGCCTTACAGGAGATCAGATAAACTACACCCGAGCTCATGCAATCACCATTTTTACCATTGAGGCAAATTATGCAATTTTCCGTTGCACATAGATGGTCATATAGGGGTTACGGACTAGCTGGCGCCTAAGATTACACTGTGGCATTTCAACTACGTCTACCGAATTCTCTATACCCGTCCTTCTTAAGCAGCGTTTTATAGCTGCACTTACATCATTTGAGATGAAGGGTAAGATAAACGGGACCTTTTTGTCGCTAGAGTTATCGTTTGGGAGCCTCCGATTTTTCCTACACCTATCCCGAGCTACAGTTTCGTAGCAATTGGAAATGGCTATTTGCCACGCCAAGTTCCGGGACTCCTCTCTCTGCTCTGTTCCCGTGCACACGTTGGTTGCTGTTCGAAACATGTTTCTTACAAGCGCTCTTTTCGTGTTAGAGGGGTGAGAAGAGAGTTACGTGGGAGTTATCACTCTGATGTATTTTCCGCTATTGTTCTCACCATGATCTTATCATGACGAAAAACTTTCCCTAAGCGTCGAATTCTAGCGTGAAAGATGAGACATTATTGTGCTTCTTCACAGGCAATACTCTCCATGCTGTGTATTTTATTCAACACAACAGCCTCTGCCCGTTCGTTCAATAGAAAACTATTTTTGGAAACTACTATGTGTAGGGAATAGCCTTTTCACGACCCACTTCCAACATTCGGTCTGCTGGGCCAGTTATCTATAGAATACAAAAATGCCGCAAAAATCCTCTGTAAACCACTAATCGTTCGCGACCTTATTTCAGGTCACGTGCTCGTCAATGTGTTCAATGCATTCATTTATAGTTTATCGTTTACTTTCAAAAATTTTTGAAAGCACTAAGCTGAAAGACTCATCTTCGAAAAGAGAGGTTCAAGTTGATTCATATACTTATCACCAGTTGTTCCGTTGTTCGCATGCAAATCGTACGCTATGTCTCCTAAAAAATAACTTCAGGCTATAAAATTCAGTGTTTTAGGTGTACTTTACAAATTCGTCACTAAGACGGATCTTAATTTAACGACCTTCTCCATGATAACTAGCAAGTGTCTGAAAGGCCTTCTGGGAACCCGAATTGATTGAGATGTCTTTCAATATCTTTCCCGCACTGGTCCGATCAAGCCTCGGTGCAATCTCAAGCTTGTCGTTCCTCCAGGGTCAGTAAATAAGTAGTTACAGGTCTTATATAGGATCAGCGCAGTCTCTTCATTTTAAAAAATCGGACGACTTCTTGTGATGAACACATGAGGAGCTCTTAGCAGGAGTATTTCGCTTTCAGGTAGGATCAACTTGACAAACATTCAACGATATTCTTGAAAGAAGACAAAACCCCTCAAGAGCCAGCCGAAACAACACAAAACTCCAAGGACGTCCGTATATAATGGATGCCTGTTTGCGAACTGAATGAAAGGAATGCCGGAATCGATTCAGTGTCATGTCATGTCAAGTTAAAAAACAAAAGCAAAAAACTTTGTGGGTTCTGGCGACTTTGGCAACATAAAGCATAGCATTCAGAAGAAGACCTTAATAAAACTGCATGATTTGCACTGCAATGGTGCTGAACTAATTGAAGAACTCAGACCAGAGGCCAGATTTGAACCCGCGATTATCCTTTACGAGGCTCATTTTTTTACCCACTGCACCACTAATGCACTCGTTTTACTTTTCTGTCAGCCAGTTTTTTACCCCAACGGTGCCATCACCATTATTCTTCAGAGGGTCTGGGGAGTACAAATCGGCAATGAACCAATTCTAAATTTTGACACCCTCGTCTCTTATAAGGGCGTGCTATTTGAGCAATTATTTAGGCTCCACTAGTGAACTAGTGGGCACAGTTTTACCTCGTTTCTAGGCTATTTCGCAAAATATTACCAAAGTCCCTTATAGTAAAAAGTATGGAATATGATATGATAGTTTTTGTGAGTTTTGAGGATATGTAATACAGTATTAGGTCTTCCGTAAAATAACGTCGGGTTGAAACCTGTACTTTTAAGCGGCTTATCCAAGATTTAAATAAACTTTATTGATGGAAACAAGAACCACCTAATCTACACATTTTTCCAATGAGAAATAAGCTTATCTATACAATCTTAACTCTTTTATTTACTGCCTTTTTCTTCTTAATGGCAGGGTATGTTTCGAATTATAACTCGTATGAAATGCTGAGATATTTGCAAAACTCCGGACCACAGGTGTACTAGCTGAGCACCTATGGTCCGGAGTTTTGCAAGAACTAGCTGAGAGCCATGCAAAGAGAAGGACCCGGATGGTGTGGCGGTGAAGTGCGCTGCTCCCCGATAAGGACAACAGCGCGTGTTCGTTCCCCACTGCATACACCTGTGGTCCGGAGTTTTGCAAATATCTCAGCATTTCATACGACTTATCTATACAGTTGTTAAGGGCACGTGTGGCGCAGTGGTTGGGGGCGCCCTGCTACACACATGTGCAATCGATCCCCGTGCCCATGGCCCACCAACTTTCCATCCCTCCGGGGTCGAAAAATTAGTACCAGACTTGCATGGGAGGATAGCTGGACAAGTTCGATACATCGGTAGTCTACCGCTAGTCATCGTGAAGGCCAGATATGCATTCAATCACTTCCGAACGATGCTTAATAAGGTCGAATGCATAGTGAATCACTCAGGAATTGTTCAACGCCGAGAGCTTTATCTTTTATACAGTTGTTCAAAATTCTAGAGTTCTGGAAGTGATGAATGACGTTAAAGGCAGTTTCGGCCTTGTCACCATTTTTGAAACATTGCTCACAAAGAAAATTGTCGAGACGACTGAAGAAGCAGTATTCGATGGGCGAGTATTCTGGCGAATACGGTGGATGAGAAAGAATTTCGTTGCCTAGCAATTCCAAATTTACAACACCGGTCGTGCAACTGTGGCGGCGTGCTTTCGAGGAAAAGGACTGGTGCCTTTCTAAGGACCAGTGCAGAGCGCAGCTTTTAAATTAATCACCACCACAAATCGTTCCGGTAGGAGTCAGAGAACCGTGATGGTCTGAACCAGCAGCAAATCACGAAATAGTCAGCATCGCCTTTTTCGGCTGCAATTTCTGCTTTGGAAAGCACTACAGAGATTCATCGCGGTCCAACCACTAAATCACTCATCGTTGGTTATCAAGAAAAATCTATTTTTCGCCGAAGGACGTAGCACAGTTTAGAAACGCGTCATTCTGGCTGCGCAGAAGAGGCGTAGACGTTCCTTCAAGGTGGCAATCTCTTTGAGTGTCATTAAATTCGTAAGGCGTTTGTTTCATGAGCTTCCTCAATTTTCTTGAGAAGCTTCAATACAGTTCAGATGTTTGAAAAGAGTTCTTCTGCAACTTCTGGAACAGTTGGACCTGCACTTGGTTGCACCATAGCCTTTAATTCACTGCTATCAATAGTTAAAGACGTCCACGATCTCCCTTAGCGAATTAGCCACAGCGAAAATTTCCAAACGGACGCTGCACTGTGCGTTCGTTGACACTTCCATGGCCGCACACCTCATTAGCATTTCGAGCAGTTTCCGTTTCCTATCATCCGATTTCTAATTCTTAGAAGTAACTTTATGTAAGCTGCTTCTTTGACATCATAATTCCTACCGTCAAAAATACCACTTATGTTATAATCCATTCTCATAGAAAAAAGTGCACAAAATTATCTTTTCGATGACGTTAAGTGCAGCATTCGAAAAAGAAACTACTGCTGAAGCGCATACAAGTAGAGGAAAAGTACAAATCCGACATTAATGTCCAAAAAACCAAATACCTTTTTTATAGCAAGTCCGAGGACCGACTTTCTCTTAACATCGGTATTGATGAATAATTCACTGTTTTCTTGAAAAGCAAACATGAGGTTGTTATTACGACATCAATTTATTCGCAATAGCCACCGTTTCTGGTGTTTCGTCTTCTTCAGAGCTTGGAAAGGCAAACTGACGTGCAATCTTCTCAACCGAACACTTTCATAACCTCAGAAGAAAACTTAACACAAAAAAACTTCGAGGAGATGACCCGCTGAGGTAGACCTGACTCGGCACCAAGGCAAAGCTGCCAGGTCGCGACGAATAACAAGCGTGGACCATCAACTCGGACGGATCATCGGCTTTGGTGAAGTCGAAGACGTCGAAACGTTATCCGAATAAAACTGTTTATCAGCCTCGTGTAAGCTCATCAAAGAAAGAATGCAGAAAAAACTTTCTTTTCTCATTGGCATTGTGAACATCTTTTAAACACTCGTATTTTGTTCATTGTAAGTCTTTCATTTATTTGGTGCAGACGAGTCCTAAAATGCCGATCTTTTTGTTGCCTAAGAAGGGGCGGTCTAGAGAATTTGCTGGCAGTCACTGAAATACCACCGGTCATACCGACACTAAGTATTTCCTAACAGCCTATACGACCTTCAATGCAGAACGCAAAATTGCATAACATGCCCAAACGGTAGAGACGGCCATTGCATGAGTTCGGGTGCAGTGTACCAAGTCGCTTGCAGTCGGTGAATTTAAAATATGACCAGATACTCTACTAGGGATGCATAAGATGCAGAGACATAACGGGGAACATTTTGAGGTAGAAGCTACCATTCTCGCACAGGAATTCAAAATATTAGTGCGCAAAGCTCTTCAAACCTTTTGGAAAAATTCTAGAAATTCGAAAGTGAACCGTAAGGAAAAGTGCTTGTGATCTTGCGTTATCTTGTAACACACCTCAGGCTGATTTTTTGACCTGAGCCAGGCACACTCCTCGCCCGTGTGAGACTCTGTAAGGCTGGTCTTCACCAAATAACTAGAAGACGTAGAAGTTATTTATTATGAGAATGAAGGAAAGAAACTCGTGTGTTAGGTTTTGCGTGCTGAGATTATAGAAGTGTTTGACTGGGTAGACTTAATGGGAATTTGAGCTTTCGAGGTACCGAAGAAGGCGACACCGTTGAAGCTTCAGCCGTTGTGAATTAATAAATACTGTAGCAACAGCCTCTTGTTTGCTCATCAAGAAAAACAGTAAATTTTCTTTTTTATGCAATGCCTAAGTATACGACTATTATTTACATGAAACTTACTGACCAAGATGAACAATGAAGTCGAATTTTTCAGCCAAACCGTTTCTTATCAGACTTTGTGTAGAATTGCCATGAAAGTAACCAAGATCCCCAAAAATACACACCTGAACCAACCGATTTTGTGGATCAAAAAATGTATTGGTTGCGGGTGAAGATTTGTATAAGAAGAGTAATTGAGATCGAACAATATCGAGAAAATACAAAGTGGTACAGGAAATAAAGCAAGTGAGAATCTTCTCAGGAACTAAAAATATATGCTGCTCAAGTCATCTTTACCTTATATGTTTGTGGATTCCGCGCAAGAGTCTTGAAGGAGAACTGCCGACTACCGATCTGATAATCTGAAGAATCTCATTAAGTACGAAGTAGTGAGTATGCTTGCTTCAAGATGAAAACGGGTCAGCAGAAAATCCACTTTCTGCTGAATATTAAAATTCGGACGTTTCTAACCTTGCGGATCAAAGCAAGATGTAATCATTGGACAAAATATACGGCTGAAGACTATTTCAATAAAATGCTTCGAGGAATCTGTTCAAATAACTCCAAAATATTAAGCTTTTCTTTTTTGAAAAAAAAATTAAACTAAACAATAGGTTGTCGATGGTTGAAGATTTCTCATTGCAGCTCGATGAGAATAACGTATACTTGAGCCAGATTGCCAACGCTTCACACCCTCATTAGTAGCCGTAAAACGTAAGTCCCATGGAGTCGTTCCGAATCTTACCGTCATTCGATCTGTCAAGAAATATGTCCTAAGGAAATGGGTAGCAGTTAGAAATAAGAGGAGATAAAAAAAGAAAAACACTATCTTTGGTTAATTGAGAACCATGTGAACACGCTAATCTCGTAATATTATTATTTCATCCATGAAATCACTCAAGTCTTAAAGAAGGATTTGGTTCTTAAAATTGAGTGAAATCTTCATACGATAGCGCAAAAGTCGGAACTTTATTATTTGCTGCCAATTCTGATAACTATTGCTCGCTTATTCTGCTGAAATTCCTTCGCTTGAGGTTGCTTTATCTCGCAAGGCTCCTTATGTTGCTTATAAAAAACTGGTAAAAGCCATTATATATGTATCGTTGAAATTGGTTAGCAACGTGTTACAAAGCACTGAGTGGTGTGTGACGGCCTACATGAAATATTGTGCTAGCTGAAGTCAGATCTACTGCTTCCCTGAACACGGATTCTTCTTTGGCTGTCAGTGAGGCTGATCGAAATACCTAACCTGTTCACCTACACTTCTTCTTTCTTCACGGATCTACAAGGGTAAAAAAGTGTGAAAGGCCCACCATAGTGAAATGTCGTCCAAAGCACCGCCATTATCGAATAGTCGCCGTGAAATGCAAGGTGCACTTGTCCTGGCCATGTCGCCACCAAGACAGCAAAGAGGTTGTGAAGGAAAAGCACTTCGTTTCTCATCTGACACCACTGTGCACCATAGACAGTGAAAGCCTATAGCAAGTCGTCAAATAAAAATAATCTCCTGATAAAAGCATTCTCGTATCGAATTAGGGAGATTGCGCTATCAGCAAGAAGGTGTTGACAATAGAAATATTGCCGTATAATATTTTTCAGCATTGCAAATGATATACATGATTGCATGAGGTAGAACTCAGTGCACTTGTATCAGGAACAGCTTGCAGAATTCTAAGCAGCAAAAGATCCTAGAGTGCTCCACAATCCTTGCAAAAGCAGCTGCTACTGCAGTGGACAATGGTGTTCTTTAAAAGCCAAGCACGTTTTTTCAAACAACGTTCGAGAAATTTACGAAGATAGCGGGTCGATTTTGCAGAAGTAACCTTAACTTAAGCCTTCTCTAAATATGTGTCAAAATTACTTCTTAAAACAGTATAGACCAACTACATAAAGTCAATAATTTTCTACATAACCAACTGATACGAAATTCATATAAAAACTTCAAATCGGCTAACGTTTCGGCGGCATCGCTAACTTCAATGCCGCGTGAATCCGAGGCAGTGCCCCCAAGATGGTCGTGGTCGCGACGAGTGTGGTCATAGTCGCATCGAATCGAATCCAGTAGAAGGAGCACCAGCGCGCACCAACCGAATGGGGAAATTCACTTTAAGACGTTGCTACGGCATGTGTCAATAAATGAAGTACCAACTGGTACAGAACGCACAGACTGCCAAAAAGCGAGCAATATCAGATGACAGTCATGAATCAACATTCGTCGTGTTTCAAGGGGTACCGCCCAATGGCGTTCTCCATTCGGACGGTGCTTTCGATTCGATGCGACTACAAAGCCAAAATGTTAGCCGAATCAATGTTTTTATACCAACCCCATGTCAGCTCAGTCCTGTAGAAAATTATGAATTATTGTTACCGAAGTTTACTGGAAGTCTGTTTTGAGGGCGCGCCAAGGGGCATGTGGTGCACTGGTTGGAGGCGCCACTACGACACACACGAGGAATCGATTTCCGTGCCCATGGCCCAACAGGCCTTCCATCGCTCCGGGGTTGGCAAACTGGTACCAAACTTGTCTGGGAGGATAGCAGCACTGGGCTCGATACATCGGTAGGCCACCGCCAGTCATTGTAAAGACCAGATTTGCATTCAATCGCTTCCAAACGATGCTTAACGAAGTCAAATGCATGGCGCATCCTTCAGGAGTTGATCAACACCGAGAGCTTCACTCTTTTTATCCTTTATCCGATTTTTGTGGTAACATACTTATAACAACAATGCTTGTCAACCTCGGTTATCCAGGAAATTACTGGGAATTGTTACCGAGGTCTAATGTTAGTGTGTTTTTAAGATACCTAAAGACAAATCATCCAGCCATTGCTTTTGAAAACTAGATTTTATCAGCGGCATTCATCACATAAAATACTTGACCTTTCGAACATATCATAATCCAGGTTTCGGTAGCTGTACAGCTGAACCATCTGTGCTTATTTGACTGAACAATCGGAGCCCGTTGTTTTCCTAAAGGTTCCCAGAGAACCGTGCTTTTCAGAGAAAATTTCAGGGTACGCTTGTAAAATTTCTGCTTGCACTTGCATTAGTAATGTCAGTCGTGACAATTAACCAGTAACTTATGAGTCGAATGTTTGCGAGAAGAAAGCGCATTTGTTACGTTTAGTTTGTTGCACCAGGATCCGCCACCGTCCTGGTATCAATATCGCATGGTGGCGAAACTCCCTCTAATCCACAAGGGGTGCGACCGCCTATGTTGGTGACGACCTGGGACAGACTTTGGCCAGGCTGTCCTCGAGATTCCAGGGAACCACAATGGCTTAACCAGCAAATCTCCGAAAAATGGTGATTATGCTGGGGTCCGAATAACTAGTGATGACGGGCCATTCAAGTATCAAGTAAGTAAGTTTGTTGTAAGCTTCTCCGCTCCTGTAAAATCCGCTGCATTTTTGGCCATTTTTGGTGGCCGGCGCGCATGCGTTTGGTGTGGCTTTACATTGGTGTATCAATACGAGAGCTTCTGATGATAACGTCGCCCGACGATGTTTGTCACGATAGTCTCTATGAAAATCTTGGCATTCTAGCGCTATCTGAAAGGCTTTAGATGATTACAGCACATCAGTTATCGACGCTGTACATTGCCTTATCTCCTTTTTTTATACTTCCCGTCTTTCACATCTGCTGTGCTGATCCCACCAGTTCTCGTAATGATCGAGCATCACTACCGTTGCGCTTCTCGCCCACTAATCAATATATCTTCTTAGACGAATAAATCTCGTCAGGGAAAAACAAGTTATTATCACGCTATCACCAGACAATCACAGCTATCCACCATCAGCAATCTGCATAAAAGGGCATCACTGAGTGAGGATGCCTCATTCGAGGAGATGGCTCACTGAAGGAGGCCTGACTCGACACGAAGGCGAAGCTGTCACGTCGAGACGAATAACAAGCGTTGACCATCAACTCGGCTCTGAGGAAGACGAAGTCGTCGGAACGTTAGCCGAAAATAAATATCATTATCGACCTCGTGTAAGCTCTTCAAAAAAGAATACATATTGAATAATTCTGAGTTTAAAAATGACCTTAAAACTTTTTTGGTCAAATTCTACGGCTTTCTTTGCTTTTGATGGGAAAACTACGTTATGCAAAAAGACAGGTGATCGGGTCCAGTGTATAACATTGAGAAAACGAAGCTATCAGTGACGAAAAACGTTTGATTGACTCTGACGGGGTCTATTTATACATGGTGTTTACCACTGCGATATCTTGAGAAGAGCACCTCGGCTCAACTTGGTCACAGTTTGTTGCACCTTAGATTATTGAGATTTTGAACGCCAGCCAAAGTGGCAATAACCAAAAACTTGCCCACCGAAAACGGTGTCGCTCGTTGCTTATTGAGACTCCTGAACTATGAATGTGTCGTTTTCTTGTTCAGCAATCGCGAGGTTTTTAAACAGCATACATTTACTTCCATAAAAACACAATACAATACAACGCTAGCTGACGTTTCGGCAGTATCGCCTTCTTCAGAGCCTGGAAGGGTATACTGGTATACAATCTACTAGGCCAAACGCTTCAATAACACTTACACAAAGACGAAGAACTCTCCGGTAATTACATAATCAACAGCTTCTTGAAAAACTCACCGCTCTTTACGTGACTTCCAATGAGGAAGTTTGGAACAGCTGATTACAGTCGCATATGGTTGACGACTGCACCATCCCACATCAAAAATCGATGCGAACGTACGGGATCAGGTCGCGTATGATCTCCGGGCATTCGTCCCTGCTATTCATTGTAGGGCTTTTGGCATTGATCCAAAAAGCCTCAAGGAGTTTTCGCGCTGGTGTTTTGGACTCCTGTGCAAGGATATTGACTTTTACTTCAAAATC